TCTGCTGATATCTTCCAAATAACTCCGACAATTACAGAAATCCCCGCGATAGTAATAGCAGTATTACTTTTCCAATTTGCTGGTCGAGTCCACCAGCCGCCAGCTATAAAGAATTTAATTTATAGTTTAATAATTTAAGGGAAAATAAATGTATTATCAATGCATACATGGGGTCCTAAGTGTTTGACATTAGCGAAAAAAAAAATCATTAATGGAAACAGACTAATGTAGCATTTGATAGGGAAAACTGAACATACCAAACCTCCTTAGGATACGGATACCGTTTTACACCGCCCTATATTAGAATATTAACGAATTTCACAAACTTGAAATTAAGAATAACAACGCTTACTAAAATAATAAAGTACCATTATATTTATTGTAAAAAAAATATATTTTGAAGAAAAAATGCTTTTTTTTTTTTTTAAAAAAAAAAGATTGGGCTGATCGTGATTATCAACAGGCTCGTGACATTAAAATATAAAATCTAACGATAGCGATGATTCGTTTATCAGATATTCTACAGCTAAATGATGGCACCAACGCTCGAAGATGTTGCGAAACCACAGAGTATGCCTAGTGGACCACGGAACGTACTTCGTTCCAATGACTCTGCAAGCCTTTGGAATTGTACACTCTCACCGGGTATGATATATCAACTTAAATTTTAGCACAGAGCTCTTTAACTATTTTTCTCTTAATCAATAAAAGGATGGTCACGAGAAGAGAGCGATATTTTAAGGAAAGCGCTTATGAAGTTTGGAATCGGCAACTGGGCAAAAATTATCGATTCACAGTGTCTTCCAGGAAAAACTAATGCTCAAATGAATTTGCAACTTCAAAGGATGTTGGGACAACAAAGTACGGCAGGTAAAGACATCATACTTTTAAATACTCACTCATTAGCAAATTCACGTACTAAAAAGGCATTAATGCCATAGAATTTGCTGGTTTACACATCGACCCTTTGGCGATAGGAGAAAAAAATTCAAAGATTCAAGGATCAAATATAAAACGCAAAAACAATTGCATTGTCAATACTGGAGGTATAAACATATTTACAACCAAGTTTTATCATTTAAATTACTGAACATAAATTCTAATTTAGGAAAGCCTACAAGGGATGAAATCAAACGAAGAATTCAACAAAACAAACAACTGTAATTTGTTCAACTTATTTATATTATTTGGGTACCTCTTTATAGTTATATTTTTTAACATTGATTTGCTTCTATTATAAATAGATATGAGATTTCTGAAGAAGAATGGAACAATATTGAATTGCCAAAACCTGAAGATGTTAGCATTACTTATCAGTTATGAATTTGAAATAAGTTGTGTTAATTGATCTTGTAAAAATTTTTTGTCCCGTTTTAACTTTGGATCTATTGATTTTTTTTTCCGTTGAAGCTACAATCGGGTAAGATCTTCGGTTTAATTATATAGCTCTAAATCAAATATTTACAAATAGTATTCTCATTGTATAGTATTAGAATCTAAAAATGAAGATCTTCGACGTTTACAACAAGAATTGGAAAGTGTACGAGCACAGATAGCAAACATACGACGTAAACAACAGGAATAGAGTTTAGAACCGGGTTGAATATTTAACCTCTAAAAATCTGTTACTATTGTTACTATTACACAGAAAACAATAAAATTTAACACATTATTGTATTGTGAAATAAACCCTTTTTTTCTTACTAATTTATCTCCCGCTAATCTGGATTTAAAAAAAATTACGAACTTTTGGAGGCTACTATCTATTATTGCAAAAAATTTGTTAAAAAAAAATTTTTTTTCCGTGTTAAGGTCAGGGACCGGAAAATTTTTGGATCCAAATCAATCCAAATTTTTCCAAATTTTTTAACGTTAGCCAAATTTTTCCAAATTTTCGAGTAATTTGATTTTATGGATCCTGATTGGTTAGGATTTTGATCTAAAAAAT